AGATTTTTGAATATCAATTTTATATTTTGATGAAATATCTAAAAATTTTCGTAAATATGTATGGGTTTTCATCATCGAACTGATACATATTTTCAGTGTATATATAAAATTCTCCTTTATTTAATTTAGCAAAACCTGTAGGAATGCTTTTATAAAATTGGATGAATAAAGAAAATTCATTCTAGATATAATGGTTTAATTTGCTTGAAAAACATTATTAAAAAAAAACATTAAAGCCTCTTCTGCATCTTGCAAGTCCACTCCTCTGAAAAAAACAAACGTAGTAATTATGAAGTATTATTGAATACATAAGCTGCTTTCCAGTTTATTTATGGGAATATAAAACGCAGTGGAACAATATTGGTGCAGAGCATGGTGAGTTACTCCGAGTAGCTCAAGTGGGCCACTGAAAAGCAGCTCTATAATGCACCTAAAAGGGCCCCACAAGGCTAGTTATTTATGGTCTTGTGAATACCTTTACACTCAACTGGCACAATAATGTTTACCAGTCAGATAAATTAACCTATGTAATTATAGAAAAACTTACCCTTTTCCCTTTTCCACAAAAAAACATTCTAATAATGAACCACTTGGAGGTACACAGGAAGCACGCTATTATACTGAAAGTCACAGGTAATGATTCCGCAATAGCTTGCTATTATCCCATTGGTCGCTCGAGGTCACACGCACATGCGCCGTAGCCGAAAATATTTAATGAATATTTTCTAAATATTGTAGATCTAATATTTTCCATTGATTGAAAAGTAAATATTTAATGAATATTGTAAAAGAAATATTGTATTAAAATATTTAAAAGATATTGAATAAATATTTAATTAAAATATTATATTACAAATATTTATTAAATATTTATTTAAGTAAGATAAAAATATAATTAATATTAAACAAATATTTAATGAATATTTCGTGCTATCGGGGTTGTATTGCCAGTCAGTATAAGCACAAGTGATTTTATATTAGATTATTGAATGAGATTTTACTTATTACTGCGTTGGAGTAAAAATACTTTAGGTAAGTTATTGTGATATATAAATTTCAATAGATATCGATAGTTTGAGAATTATTTTGAATTATATAATGCGGAGCCATATGGTTACATCGCCCACAGTAATGCGTAATTTTCTTTATAGATTCCCACCAATTTATGAAAAATGGATCAGGATTTCGATGAAATTCCATCTTGTTCATTTTATGGTAAGTAGAAATGTAGGTACCATCATTACCACAAGTTTCCGATGTTTCTGATACTTCCAGTGAAGAAAAAAATTTGACATTGGAGAATCTCAGAAAAAAATAATGCAGACCAGGCAACCAAACTTGGCTTGCGATGACACGGCAAAAGAACAAGAAGTATGCGATATCGATTCTGATTCCAAAGAAGATGTTTTTGAACCTCAGCCTGAGCCAGAGTCTGAGCCAGCTCCAAAAGGAAAAAAGAAAAATCAAGATTTGAATTTTAGTATGTACCAAAAGTCGATCAAGATTGCAATTTTATCCCGAGTACAATAGGTTTGCAGAAAATCAAGAAGCTGCGACTCTAAACCTACTCCAGTCATACAGCGTCCTGTTGTTGAAAGGTCAGACGCTTCAACAATGGGTGATTGCTATGCACACTGGGCCCTCCATGCTAGTGAGGGTAGATGTAGACTTTGTGTCAAGGGTACAACACGGACTCTTTTCCATTTACGCATACAATGAACAAAATATTTTGTACATAAAAAAGTTGTTTTTGTGGGCATTGTGACCATATGGATGTAATATGTTATTATGTTATTATTATAGATACAATAATAAATTAATTGAAAATAGAATTTAAAATGGCTGATTACGCATCAGCAGAAATATTTCTATTTTCGTAAGGCGATTTAATGTACCCCCGGGGGTACAAAAATGTGTGTAACCATATGGCTACTGCAACCGATAGGGTTAAATCGGTTCACAATTGTCTGTAATATCATATTTATAGTTTTGGCCTGATTGAGCAAATCACCATGTATAGTCACAAAAAATAAATTTTGAGCTTCTTTGTTTCCAGATATGAAAAGGCCCTGATCTGTACTCCCTACCTATTTCTCTATGTACTACACCCGGAGCATCCTGTATAGGGTACCTATTGGGACATTAGTAGGGTCAATCCATTTTTTGCAGCGCGTTGCAATTGTCACAAAAATTCTGTCAACAGATGTCCAAGGTTGACAGTTCTCCCACTATGCAAAATGGCCGAGGGTTAATTCAACATTCACACAACATAAAAGAACACAATATTAGTTTTGACTTGACGCTGTTTTTTTGGATACCATAGAAGGTCATCTAATTTGGCTAACGCCCTGACCGACACAATAACTTGACTACCACATCAAGTCACCTAACCCTAGAGCAATTAGGTACACACAAATCAAACTCCCAGCAATCTAACGTTACACGTATACGCAATGAATAAGCAAAGTTACTGTACTGAACAGAGTTAAAAAGTCTATCGCATCTCCTCAGTTCCACCATTCGGGACTGTCTAGGTCTCCCATTGTATCTTGATATTTCTGCAAACGACCTGTATCCCTAGCACTTTGCACAAGATAAACAAATCTACGCGGCCCAAAAGATAACGTATGGGAAAGCTATCTGCATACACTCGCGAAGCCGCGGTAGCATTTGGAATACACTCACTGTAAATTAAAAAGTTCGAGCGTGCCATTTTGGTTTTTAACCAATTGGTAAATAAATGTTTTGTTTACCCCCGCTGTCGGTGCCTGGGCTGAATGCTGACGTGCATTGTGCCTTCTCACTTTTGTTCTGATCAAGATATAGGAGCGGATTAGGTTTGGTGTAGGTTTGAATGATTTTGTGGAGCCTGATATCTCGGTTATCTCAAGACCTTGGTGTATATGCTACTAGAGAAAAACGCTTACTTTTCAAGACCTGTACGCCGTGTAAAGGAAAGTCTCCTTAGCAATGTGGCCACCCTCTATTTTTAGGACGCCAGAAAAGGTTATCAATTTTTTTGAAGTTTCAATTCAATATTTCTTACCCAGTATAATGTATTTAATATTAAAATAGAGTAGCTAATGAGTTCTTCCTAAGTATAATTAAAATAGAAGCGACAAGTTACCGTAAATGTGACGCAGCCTGAACAACGTCTGGAAAATTTATTGTTAACCGTTTCGCGTTGGATTTGTAAAATTCAAAACGTAGTATGCAAAGGATCAAGATTATTAATTTCCTGAAGCTGTATCCGGCAGCTTTATAACTGTCAGCAAATATTTGCATTTAAATGAAATAATTATTATTTAAATAGAACTTCAATTTTTGTACGGAAAGTTATTATTATCAAGCCATAGTAGAAGATTTGCATACGAATGAATTATCAACGCGGCCTAGTGATCTACTAAGAGTGAACAAGAGATCTAACAAAACGAATGAACGATCTGTGGATATGCTCATGCTGTCAATTGTTTATCTTGAGAACAAATTGGATGGGGTAAGGTGACTTTTCAAACTGTATCTTTAATAATTAATTTTAAGATTAACAAATTTTTGTCAAGATAGATAGATAGATAGTTTATTGTCTATTAGATCATGTTCATGATATAAGACTTGTCAATATCAATTTGAGGTCATATATGTGTTTGAGCAAATATGCTGGAAAAATTCTTATAATTATAAAATAAATAAGGACATTACAATTAGAAAACATTTTAAAAGGTTAAATCACAATATAGGTACGGAATGTGTTCAATCTGTAACGGTAAAAATATATACATATACAGCGACTTTTTTATCACAAAAAATGTTCCTCTAACCGGTAAAAATCATTGAAGCTGATACAAAGAAAAACGGTAGGAGAATCTGTTAGAAATACATAATCTATAAACACAATAAACATCGAGCGGTGAAGACAAATGGTTAAAAGCTTAAAGAAATCATCCATACTTTCGTTAAAACTCGAATAAAAAGTGAAATTAAAATATGATCCTTATAGTCAGTCACCAATTTCTTAGATGTATTATTAGGAAGACAGGTCATGAATATGAAAAGGTTTTTCATATCTTCAGGATGGAGTTTTTTGATGTTGTGCCAAAATTTCCGTTGGCCTGTCTGCCTGACAGTCTGTTGGACTGTCTGATTGTCGGTCGGATTCCCGGAAACTCTGCCACCGATTTACTCGTATAAAGGACAAAATTATTAACAAGAAATAAAGAAGGCAAACATCATCATTCATTTTTGTACGTTTTACAACTTTCTGATGATGTTTCGACATACATTTTAGTCGCTTTTTACAAACCTTATGAGATCAAATCTCTCGTTTTTTCACAGCCGTACGTCGTGATTACTTTTGTACGGAGTAGACATTCAATTAAGGAGGTACTATTATTGATACTACCCACTGGATTTCGATTGTGAAGCCGGAATATGAGCATGCCACATATTTTGTAGTTTGCACTGCGTGTTACTTCCCCCCCCCCTCCCCCTCCCCTCACGCCAAACCTTTTTCTCACACAGCCCCATGACACTCAGCAGTCTCGCCAGTAGTAAGCTTTCAAGGTGTTTGAAGTATATATTCGTAGAGAAAGATGTAAGTTTTCCAGAAATAAATCAAACGTGTTTCTTAACATTTGCTTTTGCTCTTAGTGTCCCTTGCTATTATCATCTTTTACTGTTTAATGTTATACTTTTTGCTATTTTAAAGTATTTCAAATACAAAACTATGGGAGATATTCGGTTCGCGGAGACATCACAATGTCTCTTCTACAAGAAAATAACAATGCACGACGTATCCAGATTACGCTTTGCTTCTGTATACATTCACCATTTAGAGCTCCTGCGATATTTCATAGACCTCGAAATAAATAACAGATTAATCCAGTGGATATCAAGTGTCATTATCATTGTATCTTCTTTCCTATTTCGTAATGCTTTACGCGTTGAAAGGGTCATAAACTTCTACGTTAATGTCTACCTATATCTTCAACTTTTAAAGAACTCACCTGAGTTTGTGTCAGACCAAGGCTCGCGGCGAGTTCTGCCCTTTCGGGCAGAGCCAGGTACTGCGTTCTTTGGAATCGCCTGTTCAGCTGTTGCAGCTGAAGGCTAGAGTAGATCGTACGAGGTTTCCTCATCTTCTTCCCCTTGCCGCCACCCGTTGGTCGTTCCAGCGACAGGCATTTGTCTGCAAAAAAAAAATCGGAATTCAATTTCGTTAGCATACTTTTGGACAAAATGTGACGAGTGATCGAGTATAAAAGTCGCATATGGATGCTTGAATTGGCCTGAATGTGTATAAGTTCAAGACATAGAAAGACATGAAATGGCTGACATTGAAAGAACTATATGAGTTACACTTAGTCACTTATACCCCATAATCTTTTAGTTACAGTCATTCCTCCATTTTTAAAGGATAAACTAGCACCTAGGAGTAATTTTCGCACAGGGGATATTCGTTTCGCGGAGACTCCTTGCACAATACCCCTCCACAAGACCGCACTCTTTCGTATATTATGCTTCACATACAGCGCAGTTATTCTCTATAATGAACTTCCACGAGCTATAATTATATATAATTGTTTATGAAAAATTCAGAAGACGCATTAATATAATTATTTTGGATAAATCCCTTCACACTCAATTTTTCACTGTAAATTTAATTCTTTCACCTACATAACTGTTTATACACAAATTATTCATAAAACTATTATTACTCTTGTTAACATTAAAATAATCTGTTTTGTTTTTTGTTGTACTTTTTTGGGGTTAAGTGGCAGAATGGCACTATGCTAAACTTTGCCCCTAATAAAGACAATTATTATTATTATTATTTCTAACGTATGTCCTAAAAGTTTTGCCCCAAAATTCATTGGCTTTAATTTTAACAAACACAAAATAATATCAAGTTGCCTTTGGAAACAAAAGTTTGTTTACTTACTTTACTGTCAGTTGACATTTATTTATTTATTATGTTTTCGCCTTAAGATGTCGTAAGCGCAACTTCCTCGCATACCAAGATGCTGTCGGCAACTGAGGCAGGTACACTTTGATAATGGAAAAATCATTATTTTAGATTAAAAGTATTTCACTTTGAGTGATTCTGAAATGAAGGGAAACGACGGATTTTATACGGACAACGTAGAGGAATGCCCTAACAAGGTATATAGATACAAATATAATGCGAAATTTGCTGATAAAATCCTTGTCTGGTGCGCAATTGCTAATTTGGGAAAGAGTTAGGGGTGAAGCTTTGAATAGCCAGAGCTATATTGATAACTGCCTTTCCAAATTGCTTCAGCTTGTCCACGAACATCATGCATCCAGGACCTCATGAAGGACATTTGAAGTAAGTTGCGTCTGGTAGATCAGAATGGGCCACTCCACATAATTCGATAGTATAGTTTAGTTAAGTATTGAGTTGTAGTTTATGATAACTAGTTATTGTTTAAATAACTTTCTTCATTAAAGAAAATCCAATAAATATTTTGTGCCAGAACTTTTTGTTTCGTTGTGTGACAAAATGATCGCTCTATATGCTTGCCCGTGGAGTAATCGGAGCTAGAAATGGTTCGATTAGTGTTAGCTAGACATGTAGATTTTGCGACCGAGAGACTTATAAAAATAAAAACGTCCGCTTGGAATGTATATCCTCAATAATATGATCAGTAAAAACAACGTGCTGCAGGTGCATTTAATAAAGTTTAAAGATACATTTTCACAAAAAGTCTCCTCTTGTCGATGATCAGCCCTCCTGAAGGAAATTCCTGCGAGCTGCCCATGACAACTGAATATTCATTGAGAAGGTGGATATTAATACGAACAATACCAAAAGCAGTAGGTGTGTGTCAAATAATACCTCTAATGATAAACAAATCAATCATTATCGTTTGATCTGGAGTATTAGAAGCAAATTGAAAAGCATCGGATTCCGCAGCTGATATGACTGATGGTATCTCACCCAGGTTAAGTGAAATATAATGGCATCAGTAGTAATCCTCAACGAGGTGTTTATTGATGTACAGGTATATCTGCTATCAATTGCCCAAAGTACGTAAAGTAATCATCTCAGCGTTATTACAGCCAATTTGTATAATTAAATTTCATTCAAGAGATAGTTTACTATGCAATTGTTGGTGCTTGCACTTCATTGTTTACATCTGATGCAGCTATAATTTCCAATGACTTACTCAGGAATTAATATGAGGTGCTTATCTGCAGGGAGCACGAAGTGAAGACTAGGTATTGAAGGCTATCAAATATGTTAGTATTGGATTCTGTTCGTTTACATGTCAAGTATATTTACTATGTTTTCGACATTTTGTTTTTTAATAGCTGAAAATTCTAATGACTCGATGCCAAATGAGAAAGAAAATGAGACTAAAAGATTCTACGACAAAAAGGTACTCGAGTTTTCGTGTACTGCGGGTCAAAAAGCCATGGGAAACGTATTTCTCAGGTTAGTACTTCACTCTTAAATTAAGTTATCATTCATTTATTTGAAGTCAAAATCGTATGCCAGCCAAAATATTGTGTACTATATTATCATACGTATGTAAAACACATCGAAATGTTTATCTCATACGTCAAAAAAAATATTTGTGACACGTTGTGCAATTTAAGAGTGTTTTAATACAAATATTTTATTTTAGTTTCCTACAGTTTCTAGTTTTAATCAAAATGGTTATCCTACTTATAATAAGTTCTACGAAATCGCCACGACATATATACGTACATTGAAACATAACCCGTTCAAATCGCTGGATGAATTATCTAGTATTACAAATACAATGTCTAGAGAAAATAGTTTCTCAAACATAACAAAACCCTAACCTCTATAGCAGGGTCACAATTCAAGAACAGGAAAAAACTTGGGGTCACTAGATCTCATAACACCACAACTTTGGCTATAAATTTTGTGTTTGAACTTTGTAGAGGACTCTTCGAATTTTCAATTTTGTGGGGGCGACGTACCTAGTAATGTTGCGTTAATTTTTCGTTTGGAAGAAATTATCAGCCTCTAAATTGCGCAAACCGAAAATTGAGCTTTCTTTGAAATAATAACATACTCTGCCTGATTAAGATGCAAAAGACCACCGGCCGCTAGAAACAAGTTCTCGATGACACATGAAATGATTGTAATTTTGCTAATTCATCTATCTATGCTAACATATTCAAATTACCAGCAAATTCTGTCAATAAAAATCCGAAACAGATCGAATTTAAGTGCTGAGACATGTCTTTGATAGCAAACGACAAGGTTAGGGTTACTCAGGTAGCCGGTTTATCTCTTCATAAGACAAAGTACAACATACAAAATACATTTATGCATCATTCTAAATAGACGTGCACGAGCACCTTTTACACCATCGGACAACATGTAGTTACGATAGCACTTGTTGCCCAACATATTTTTTAAAAGCCACGGTGTCGTGGAAAATTTGTATGAAGGTCTTGAAATCGGCGACCGAGGCGTCAAAAAATGGACTGTACGCCACACGCAATTCTGGGCAATGGACTTCATGTGTATCAGGTATAGTATCCGAGTCAACTTTTGTACGCTTTGGTATCTTTATTTTTCGCCGGCGATGAAAACCTTTAAACCCTGGCATGAGGTCAGTAATCAGTAAAAAAAAGTAGTAAGTAAATTGAATAATAATATAATAAACCCGCTTATATCCTAGTAGGTTTATTATTGGCTGGCTATGAAGTCCCTCACAGCATGAACATGATTGAAGAAAAAGTTTTGACGGAATTTTTTTCAAGTAATCGAGGATCACTTTCGTTCGCCCTGGTATTATTTGCTTCGGGATTCATATTCTCAGAAGACTGGTGAATGTCTAACACCGTATCTGTTGATACTGGTGTATCCATAAAAAAGTTCTGGGAAGGCTTAAGGGCAAATTCAACCGTTGTATCGGCAACTGAAAATTGTAGAGCGGGGGGTGTGGCAGAAATCACAGTAAAATGTACCAAAATGAAGGTTAAATAAGCGGGGAATATACGTCAGTTAAAATATATGGACAATAAATCTTATTGAGGGGTGAACTGAACAGAAAAGACAGCAGAAATACTTCCAGCGGTTTGATATCAAATGTTTTCAGCAATACATTATGGTCCAAGCCTCTTTGTAGATAGAAACCATTGCATTTGAAAAAAAATATATTTTTCTGCTCTTCCTTGGAAAGATACCAACATGCTAATGGAGTTTTTGTAAGTAGGTGCTCAGATAAGCGATTTATCTTCTGACGCTTATAGATATAGAAGCTTGATTGTTCCAACATTTATAATTATATTACCGCCAAAAATTCCAATAACCCCTCTCCCACCCCTCAATTTTTTACCGCTAAAATTTTTTTCTAAAATAATCAGGATTCTCTGAAACGTCAAGAAACCAAGTTTGAGCAATTTTTATTGTTTTCGTTTTGAGCAATCCTTCATCGCAACTGGAACGATTTACCAAAAAAATACAAAGCATTTTCGTCCTTGGCATGGTAGTAACCTTGCTTCCAAATTTCATCAAATTCCGAGCGGTACCTCCTAAGTTTTAAAGGAGGTCAAGGATCAGTTAACAAACAGACAGACAGACGGAAATGAGCGACAAGGCTTTTCGTGATCTCCCTCAATTTTTCGTGATTACAATACCCCCTCGACAGTTGACTTGGGAAGTAAAAAGTGATTGATAGATATCAATTACGACCTAAACCTATGATTTGGACGTCAAGTTTGCAAACTGAAATAGCAACTTTGATAGCACATTCACATACTAATTTGTCCACTTATGACCACATGCTGTCAATGGTGGTTGCTATTTCAATTTACGAAATTGACATCCAAATGAGATCTTTACTTCGGTCTTATTAAAAATCACAAATGAATTCTGCTTTCTCTCTTATAAAACCTGAAAGTATCTTTTTAAGGGATAATGCGTGGTTGACAAGTTGCCAGGGCATTCTTGACCTTATCAGACTTTATTTATTGACATACTAGTTTGACTACTAATGACCGTCTGACCTCACGTGTGAAGAATGATGACAAATCGTGTTGCTGAAACACGAAACTGTTTTTGTCGTTCATGTGGATTAGGTTATTTGACATATAAACTGCTCCAGTTCAATTTAAGGAACGTTCACTTAATCAGCCCTAATTACTTAATTACAAAATTAGTTTCTAATAACGGTTTCGTAA